TTGATTCTATATTGTTGTAGTGCATAATAATCTTAGTGCTTCTCATCTTGTTACTGTATTATGTCAGGAATGTATTGCAACGGCTGAGAAAGAAAATTGTATTTAGAATTGCAAAAAGTAAAAGAAATTTCATAAACCTTTGCATTCTGCAAATATATTTAAAAATTTAAAAAAAAAAAAATAATGCCTGCATTAACAATAACAAAAATAAGAAAACACTAATATACAAGTAAAATATAGAAAATCATCCAAAATCCCAGCAAATGGGCTGGCTGCATTGGTGTTTTCATGGCTTTTTTCATATGTAACATGTATACAAGCGAGTTTTCCTTTCAAAGTCCTCCATGAAGGTATCCTTTCCCTGAAACAGGTAGCCCTCTAGTGCTTTGCCTTAATTAAATAAGTCAAACCAATTATGCAATGGCTGTGATCACTTTATTGAAAGCCATTATTTTCTGATACTTTTTTTTTTTTCTTTTTAATATTTACCTTTTGCAAATATTTATACTTAGAAGCTAAAAATTTTACTTTGCAATTCTCTTGAAATTTCCACTCCACTGGCAGTTGAGATTTCAAAACTGCTGAATACTGGTAGAAATATTGCTATGAGTTTGAGCCTAGGGAAACAAGCTGGGGCTGCATGGTTGTTTTTCTATGTGTAATCTGAATACAAGCCAGTTTTCTTTAGTTCTCCAATGAAGGTTTGTTTCTTTTTAGGTAGATGGACATTATGCACTGTGCTGTATTAAAATAACCTATAACCTTCAAAATTTTGAAGATTTATAATATCAATGATCAAATATTTTTTCCATAGTTTTAATTTTGTAGGTAAATCCCTTTTATTCAAAGTAAGTAATTTGCTTCAAGGTGAAAGATAGATTATGATTCCATGTAATTCTAATATTGTATTCAAACCAAAAAATATTCATCTGTAATTTAACATTATCATTACCTTATCACTGATATATCAAGCCAGCGAAAATTTGTAGTTGTGCTAATTTCGCTTCCAAAACATACAATTAAGTGCATGTTTTGATTGGGAAAATATGACTTTATTTTGAAAGTGGATGAAAAGTCTTCAAGTCTAAAAATATGCACTTACCAAATTTTAAATTCATGCATCTGAATGATTTTTTAGTACACACCCATATATGTATGTAGCTGATTATATTCATTTTAAACAGAATTAAAAAATTTGAACTCTTTAAAAAATCTTACATTTCAAAATGATTTATTAAAAATACATATTGAAGCAATTGTACCTTGGAACTCTTGTAGTAGGTTGACAAGTAAAGTATTTTTAAATTATCTGTTGCAGCTAAAATCATCTAAAATTTCTGTAGTTAATCTTTTAATATATACTCCAAGTTGAAAGAAATTATGTGTATCATGCATTAATTTCTTCAAAATCTATTAATGTCTAGATGAAAAATTCATTTCCTTTTCTGAAGAAATTTTCCTTTGGGAATAGTTGTTTTGAATATGTAGATGGTGCTTGAAAGCTTTCAATACTTGACGAAATTTAGTTGCAAAAAATCACCCCAAGGTCAACAGGTGTTATGGCTCTCATTTGAGATTGTTATTTACAACTTCCATTTTGTAGTATACCTCTCTAACAACTGTTACTTTTCTGCTACTAATTAAACATGGCAGCAAGTTGGGAGATGAGAGTAAAGAAATGTAAGTATGTTATTAACAAAGTCAAGAAAGAAAAATATGTAGTGGAATATCGCATTTGGAACAAAATCAATTACATCAAAAGCTGGCAAAATTTTACAAGTGAAACAAATTGGAAAGCCTTCCCTTTTAATGGAATTTTAGCATTATAACCTTTAGAGAGTTAAGAATAGATTCAAGGCAATTATTCCTGTTAATGATTTTGTGGCAAATTACAATAGTGCGATACTATTAGTTTCTTTCATTGTAATTTTAAAATTTTTAATTCAGTTTCATTTTAAAATTCAGTTTCAGATCCCAAAAAATCACAACTTGTCTATTAAGCATTGGAACTTGAAATAAAAAAGAAAGTGGCAGCATTTCTTTTTTAAAACAAGCATCATTAAACATCTGGTTACCTGAGGTATTATTTTGTGCTAGGATTATCAGAGTTTGGCTAATCTTGAAAATTTGGCGATATCTGATAAGGTGGTTTTGGTAAAATGTGTTTTCATTTTCATGCCTTGAGTATATAACAGTGGCAGATATAAGAGTGAGATCCTGATATAGGCTAGTAGCAAAAGTAGAAGCACTGATGCTAAACAAGAGAGAGGAGTTCATTAAAATAACTGAGATGTTCAAGTAACTGTAAACGAATGCTTGATAACTCATTCAACAAATATGGAAAACCAACAAGCCGTGCATTATTGTGACAGTAAAACACTAAACCTGAGCTTTTGGGCAAGTAACCAGTTTTGGAGTTGGGCCCATTGTGAAAGATTTAACATACCTTCAAAAAGAGGAAATATAACATTATGTCATGTAGATCTACAGATTTGGGGGTAGCTGTTTTTCCCATGTGTAACTTGAGTATGAGGCATTTCTCTTTAGAAAGCCCTGCTTGAGGATATCCCTCCCCTTCCCTTCTTGATAGCCCTTGTCTGCTTTGCCATATTCAAATAATCTAACTAAACTTGATGGAGGGGTAGACTACGTATAAATACACTGAAGTGATACTGAATTAGTGATAGACATGGCTATGCAAATTTTTTAACACTGTGCTGCATTAAGGCTCATGTGATGCCGTTGTGGTAAGTGCATGTATAGCTAGTACTGTGGTGGTTGTTCATCAGTTGTTTCAAATAGTCAGTATGGGTGAAACTCTATTTTGGGCACCTTTGACTGCAGACAAATAATAAGTGTTTGATACATCGGCCATTCAATTTCTGAAATCATCAAAAAGCTAGGATTTTCAAGGTTAAGAGTTATACCAAGACTACACGGATAGTGGGGCTGACTAGTCATGATCGGGCAAACTGCAAAGGACAATTAACATTAAACGAATATGGTATGAAATGGCTCAACCATCCTGTACATAGCCAGCAAAGACAAACATTAGCTAAAATTACCACCCACCTGAATCAGGGTGCCAGTCATTTGCTTTACCATATGGACTTCGGGAGCTGTAGACCCAAAAGAGTACCATTGCTCAATGCATGGCATCGAGCTGCATGTCTTGCCTGGGAAAGAAAACACCTAGAATGGACTCTAGAAGCCTGGAAACAAGTAGTATGCAGTGATGAGTCTCAATCCCAACATTCTCAATTTAGATCTTTGATACTTGTACCAACCACTCTCAATGTGATTCAGTACATAGAGTTGTTGGGCGATCATCTCCATCCATTTAAGTTGTCTTGTCATTCACGTAGAAATGGAGTATTCCAGAAAGATAACTGCACCTGTCACAGGTCCAGTTGTCTACTGCCTGTTTGGATGAACATTCTTACTTCTCCGTCATGAATTGGCTATCTAAAAGCCCTGAATTAATCCTACTGAACACTTTTTGGATCTTTTGGAGAAAGGTGGGAAACTACATTGCACAGCACTAGTGACCCTTCCTGAAATATGGACAACTGTAAGCAAAGTTTGTCAACACAATTCCATAAAATGCTTCTGCAAACTTATTGAATCAATGCCTCGTCATGTGGCAGCCATTATCAAGGCCAAGAGGAGGCCCAACTCGTTACTGACTTACTATCCCTCAGTGGCACTTCAGTGTAGTATGGACTGAAGTTGATTACCACTTGGATGTGCTGAGTGACCAAGAGGACGCACAGATATTTGTAGTATATGAGTTTCAGGTTCTGTCTATTATATGTTTGATATCTTTTAAAGTGCAGTGTTTGAAATTCTGGTAAATCTTTTATAGTAACCTTGAATCATAGATGGCATATAACCATCATGAATATTGCAGGCTTTATTATAGCAAAGCACATGAGGGCAATTTGCCTTAGAAGTGAGGCATTCATGGAGGGCTTTCTAAACGAGATACTGCTCATATTCATGGTAACATGTAGTTAAAATCATGAACATCAGTCTGACAGATTTTGGTCTCCAGGAGATTCTAGGGCTCAGTGTTTACTTCTTCTATGTGCTCAGGCATTGTGGGTCTAAAGGAAGTTAAGAAATTTATTGACATTTAAAAGACGAAAGTGTAAATTATGCTACTGCAAAAGAGGATATAGGTTTAATTGTTGATGAAAAAGAAATCTATAGTGGATAAGTATGAGAATTTTGGCTTCATTTTTTACAGCACTGTTATATTGGTTCCTTCAGTTGGGGTGTTAGTCTCTTGGTGTTTCTGCTTTTTCAATCGATATTTCTACATCACCTTGTATTATTAGTCTTCTCATTACTGTCTGTTTATCTTCCTCTCTTCATTGAACTTTCATTCTTCTGAAGGAAAAACCTATGTAATTTTATGCATTTGACTTGGAGAATTATAATATTTGATCATACACTTAAATTATTTTTATCATAATAGAATAAATATTGATGTTTATTACCAAGCAATTTAAGAGCATTTTACTTGAAAATTATTGTTAAAGCATTCAGAATTTCATTGAAACTATGTCTTGCCATGATGCCTTTTGGTTGAGTTCTGCCACATAATAAAGACATGAAAGGAAGATTTCTGATTCTAGTGGCACAAATACGTGATGCTATCAATGCCTTAACATCTGAAATATGAAGATAACCAACCGGAAGAAAAGAAGTTTTAGTTAGCTGAAAATTGCTTTTTCTGTGGAATAGTTTAAAACATTTTATGATCATTATGAGCTTTTTAACTGTGTTGAGCAATATATGTGTGTCAGTTAGATGATTTAAATTCTGATGAACTGATATCTGAAATGTTGTCTCAGAATGGCCCCAGTGTCACTTTGTGCCTAAATTGATTTGGGTCATTGGGTCCGAGTCTCGCCTTCAATCAAATCAAATATCAAACGTTCTAATATATGTTATTGCTTTTATGTTGATGATTAATGTATGTTGCTACTTTTCAGCTGAAGTTTTAAGTGAAGATGTGATACTGAAGTGGTATAAAGAGGCTCATTCTCCAAAAGGAAAAAGTATATTTTTAGATCAGACACGAACATTTGTAGAGTGGCTTCAGAATGCTGAAGAAGGTAATTTTAGAGTACTTTATTTCCTCTGTATGTGAGCATAATGTAAACTCATTCTTGTGAGCAAGAATTTATGAAACTAAATAAGAAAACAATGAACTGCACAATTAATAATGGACAAAAGCTGAGGGCAAAACATTAAGACACATTACATAGCATATCTTAGCACAATGAGAACTTCAGAAATCTGTAACAGTTTTCCCCTTATGATTCAAAAATTCATTTTTGAAGACAATAATACTTAGAATTGCAAAATATTGATTTATGAAATTTCAAAGAGTAGTAACATATTGTGTAACAGTAGCATACTAAAATACATAAGTTAGGATCATGGTTAATGTTATTTAACATGCACAATCAGTTTTAAACAGTTATTTCACTCCGAAATTTTCCACACTGCAGCAACCATCATAAATGCAAAACAGGAAGACTCAACCAATTTCTTTACCTTTTCAATGAATTTTTGAAGAAATATCCATTAAAATCTATGACACATGCTGAAGTATATTCTATTGTAAAACTTCAAAGTATCATCAATCAATTGTGTGTATAAAAAAGCTATTGTAACCATTCAGTTCAATATATCTTGCAGTCATAGAATTAATTAACTTAATTCTTACAAATTGTTTTGTTTTTTTGAATATTTTGTATAATAATATTTTAAAGTATTTTTATTGAAAATAATTATTCTAAAGCTGTTAGAATTAAAGGCTTTTCTTTGATACCTTGGTTTGTAAGTTTAGTATTTATATAAACTAAGTCCAGAATTTTAAAACATGATCACAATGTCGCTTGCATTTACTTTATTGCAATTTAGTTGTAAGAAGCTTGTTATAAATGATATTAAACAGTGAGTGAATCCATACATCTAAATATTTTAAGTATGTTTGCTAATTTTTTGAAATTTTAATAGTTTGCAATTTTTGTTAGTTTGAGCTTGTAAAATTTGAGCAAATATATAAAAAATCCAAGTAATCAGCTGTTTATTAAACTTCTTTGAATCCCTCCTTTTGTTAGTTTAAAGATCTAAACTGAAATTCTGAAGTATTGAAGTCCGTGAAAGATGGACAGTAATTTATCTTGTTTACTGAATTTATTTTTAGAGAATGTATAAATATTTGAAGAAATCTATTAAATTGGGAGGGGGTGAGGAAGAAGACTGCTCCATTAACATCCCCAAAATACCTTCTTTCAGGACAAAAATTTTCTGTAAGTGGCCAGAAAGAAATTACCTCATCACTCAGTTGATGCATTATAAAAAGTAGAAATTCAGTAAATAAATATTTTTTAAAATCATATTTCTTTAAAATAGAGTTGAGAGTTGTTTCTGTAACTGCAGAAATTTCAGCATGTTATAGATAATTGCATGCCAGAATTTTAAAATATTGCAGATTTAATTATTGATTTAATTACTGATTGATTTAATTATTATAAATCTCTGATGTGTTATGGGAAAAGTGGGTCAAAGCTTTATGTTGTGTTGTCAGTTTAACAGTGCCGTTCCACTCTATAGTAACCCTAAATATATATGTATGTGTGTATATATGTATTTATGTGTAACATATAAAAATGTGAAGACAATTTATTATCAAATTAAAATTTAATTAGAACTAATTGACAATGGACCTTTAAATTACTAATTTTCAATTGAAGCACAACCCCTTCAAGGCATCTACAATTTTTCTGGAGTATCTGCATCTTTTTAAACTCTTGCCTTATTCGCTGTATAGGATTAAAACAAAGCACTTTAGAAATTATAAATACTCTGGCCACAATAATATGTAACTCTCTTTTAGCACTTTGCCTTCCTGCTAGCAACATATCACTAAAGTCCTAATCACATATGTTTTTGTTACAAGGGACTGGATGTCGAAAGGGACAATTCTCAGAACCTGCACATTTCCACGAAACCTATGTAGCTAGGTAACCAATTTCACTTACTACAAAGACTTGAATGCCTAACAGTAATCGATTATTACTTAGATTGGGATCACATGATCCTTCAGAAGCAGTCTGATTGGTTGAACTCTACCCAGGACAGAGCTACAGCCGGAACATTTTCAGTGAGGTTACAAAAAATCCCACGTAGCTAGTACATCATTTCTGTAGCTAGGTGGGACTTCGCTTCCAACAGAGCTGTTTCTTCTAGGAATCTTCCCGCTCAGAACAGTTCTACCAGAATCTTGTTTCTCAGAAATGTTCCATCTAGCAGGGACTGTCGCTAGACATAATAATCCCTTTAGTCTCTGCTATTTGAGATGTAATTACATATCTAAAGTTGTGGGGCTTGTTTAGTACTCCCTATTCTTCTACCAACTGAGAGATAATGTGCTAAGAGGTGTGTCATCCAAAAAATGATGTTTAACTGCCAAGCTGATCATGCTTCTTTCAAAATCCCATCCGGTCAGCCACTACGTTGCAAATTCCGGCCAACTATGCAGCAGTTTTTTAGCCTGTGATTAAAATGTGAGTTGGCGCCTTCTCTGTGCTATAAACCCCAATGGAAAATTTATTTGCCAATTGGATTTTGATAAAATATCTACAAAACTCAAATAAATGTGCTTTTTTATCTGCAACTCCAAAAGTTCCAACATCTGGAGAAAACACAATGTAGAATTTATTTCGGCTACCTCTTCATTATTTAGGGGGAAAAAGAAAATCTTGCATTATTTCAGCAATGCATTCCCAGTGCTTTTGAAGGTCGTTAATCTTGGTTTATAAAATTAATTTTTGTTTCATCTCTTCATTGTTATGTTATGCTTATCAATCAAAAAATTCAAAACTACCTTTAGATTCATAAGTATTTTCTTTTAACCATAATGTGTTAAATTACAGTCACTTCAGTGAAATAAAACTCAAATAGTGCTATGACTTTGAAAATTTTACATCAAGTGTTTTGTGAATAGAAAAAAATGTAAGGTTTTAATTAGTGCAACTAGAACTATCTTATAGAAATTGCCAATTATTATTTTTATTATATTGAAACTATGAATACATAATGCTGTTTCTTCTTATACTGGATTAAAAGTGTAGCATTGTTTTATGAAAAATAAAAAAGATTAAAAAAATTGTTTGGAATCAGAATTTTGTAAACTTGGTTTAACAAATTAAAAGTTTTTAAAATTTTATTTAGAAAACATTATGAACATGATTAACATATTTTTGCATTATTGTTTTACATACCTAGAATTAATATTTTGAATTTTTGAATTATTTTAACAATGAGATTTTTGTTTTAAAATTTGAATTCTAAGAACTTTCTGATTGTTTTAAGAACGAAGTCTCCACCTTATAATATTTTCATACATAACTATTATTTTTGTTATTGAATGAAATTAAAGTTTTTTAATAAATAATGCTATATAAATGGAATGTTTTAGTGCAGTTTGAAAAGGTTAGTTGCCTTCAAATGAGGAACAGTTGCCTTTTAGACGTAACTGCCACAAACAATCCATTAATCATTGGTGAAAATTCATACATCAATTTGTTAATGTGGATATGTTAGTATTTAGAGAATGGGGCACCTTCCAATTTTGTACAAAATAAGTAAATTATAGATATCTTAATAATAATAAATATCATAATTTCAGTAAAACTACCTTCAAATGATGTTAAATGGAATGAAAATTAGTTGTAAAATTTTAAAATTTGTTGTGATTATGTACAGTAATTAATGGATGTATTCAAACTTTTTTTTATTTTAATAGGCCTTCCCAAATCAGATATTCTCACTGTTGAACAAAAAATTTTAATTATTTTTTTTATTGTAGAGTAATATAAAATTCTGTTTACTAAATCCCCAAGAAATTCCTAAGACATAATTTGAGAGAAATTAATAAAAATTATTCATCTTGAATCAGCATCATGATAAGTTATTCATCTTGAATTTTAATTTTGTATATTTATTTTTTTCAAGTATGTAGCATAAAAAGTAAATAGGAGTTTAGTTTTTTTTTATATATATGTAAAAAATTATACATATATATAATGCTAAAAGCCAGTTAACTCGTATAAGGAACAAATGTTTTTAGATCCATCTCTATTTAAGCATCCAAAGCCATCAGCAAGTAGTTGCGCTGATTCACTGTTGAGGATCTGCTTATTTTAATCAAAGTATACTATTATAATTGTATTTTTCATTTATGTGTGTTAATTATTACATTGCTCTGCAATAAGAAAATCTGATTTTGTTATAAGTATTAATTTTTATAGAATTTTGTAACTATGAACTAACTAAAAATATTGATTTTATATTGATAGCAATACTTATATGGTTAAGAAAGCAGATATAGGGGCACTGCAGGCCTTGGCCCCCTAGGGCTATTATGCCACTGAATTTAGTTTAGTTTTTAACAATACTTATTCTTTATGAAAGATTTCACAAAATTGCAAGAATTTTTTATATGATCTTCCAAGCTACCTTAAGAACTTCACAGGTTTATATTTTAGAGACTTTCAAATTGGACTCTAAATTTAATTAACTGAATCATATTTTATTCCAGTATTTCTAAATTATTTCTTGGATCCATTTATTTGTTTTCTCATTGAAATTGGTAAATATTATACAAAATTTCCTTTGTGTTGCTAATACTCTAATGCTTCTTTCTCAAGAGACTTTTTTTTGTCTTCAAGGCTTTTTACTTGAAAGGGGAGATAATGTGCAAGATATAAAAATATGAAGAAAATTTCAACAAATTAAAACTTAATTGGAGCAAATTGACAATAAATCTTTAAATTACTAATTTTCAATTAAAGCTCAATTCAATCTCTTCAAGGTTTTTGCAGTTTCCCTCCAATATCCACAAAACTCGGTAAATTCTTGCCCAATTGCTGTGTAGGATTAAAACATAGTATTCTTAAAATTGTAAACAGTCTGCCCACAATATACACACTGTGTATATTGTGGGCGATTTGTTGTTTGGGGTCCACCTTTTTTCCGCGATACTATGGCGAGAGATAGATTCAGGGAACGTCTGAAATTTCTGCGATTCGACAAAAAAACT